CGGGCACCGCCCACGGCTCTCCCTTCTCCCTCCACTGTCCTGTCTGTCCTTGTGGGGCTGCCCTTGGGCGCCTTGTCTTCTCTGCTGCCTCTCCCTCACCGCCCCCCATCTCTCATCATCCCATTTCTGCCCTCCCTGTGAGGCCAGGATGGGCTCTCGTCCTTCCACACGGGACCCAGACTCGGTTTCCTTATGCTTTGACTGGATCGTTAGCTCCTGGAATCCTAGATCAAAGCTGAAGGGAGCCTTTGCAGCCCCCGCACCCCCTCTGTACAGACGAGGAAGTCAAGGGATCCCCCCAGGGGTTGCCCAGCTAGTGCGTGTCTGAGGCTGGATCTGAAGTCCCAGTCCAGGGCCCAGCTTCCTGTGCCAAGCTGCCGCTTCCACTTGTCCACCCTGAGGGGGATTCTCCCCCAAGGCCCCCCTGGACTGCACTCTGGGAGCCGCTGGACGCTTGCGTTGTTGGTGGGCGGGCTGAGCCCCTCTGTTCCTCCTCTTCCTTAGGGACCTGCTCCAGATAGACGGGCCTTACAACGAGGCCTTTTACCAGAAACTCCGAGACCTCTCCACGGAAGATGATGGGACCCTGGCCTACGCCCTGACGAAGGTAACGGCCCTGGGGTCGGGGTGCCAAGCCCAGCCCAGCAGCTTTGGGCCCCCCCTTGCCCTCCTCAGGCCCAGGAGCAAATGGCTGGTGGATGCCCTCTCGCTTTTTGGAGGCCTTGCCCCCAGCTTGCCTGCCCAGGCCTCCTTTCCCTAAATCCAGCCTCAGACACTCAGTAGCTGAATGTCTCTGGGCAGGTCGCTTTGCCTGCCTCAGTTTCCTTAGCTGTAAAGTGGGGATCGTGACAGCACTCGGCACACAGTAGGCACTTTACCAGTGCTCACTTCTCTCCCTGCCTCCCTTCCTTCCTTGTGGGCAGATGGCCCCTTTCTTTATCAGCATCCCTTTAGGGTACATTAGTGGGGCGGGTCCCTGTTTTCCAGCACAGACCTCTCCCCCAAAGAAAGAAGGCTCAGGTGGCCGCAGCAGACCCCGAGACCCCTTCTGGAGACCGTCAGGGCTAAAGAAGTATTGTGGCAAAGCTTGCTCACAGGCCGTGGGAGAACAGGCCAAAAGCCTGCCCATCGCTCCTGGCCACAGCCCCTGGGGCCACGCCGTGGCTCTGGCCTAGACTGGGTGCTGTGGTGTCCAGTCCCCTCAACGCTCTGGGGCTGCTTCTGCTTGCCGACGTGTGTCCCTACGGGGAGTGACCCACACCGAGCCCGGGACCCTGGCTAGGCTCTAGAATCTCTGGGGGCTGTCCAGCTCCCGCGGCTTTTAACGAAAAGGTGCCACGCTTGTTCTGAACAAAGCAGCGGGCCCGGGCGTGATGACGGCATGTCTAAGGAGCCGACCTTGGGGGATTGCAGTGGGAATGGGGCCTGAGGCACTTGGTCCAGAGGGTGGGGCCCCAGGAGAAGGCCTTTGTCACTCGGGGAGTGGCTGTAACGTGGGTGGACGGGACAGTGAGGTGTGGAGCCGGGGCCTGCCCGGGGGCACCAGGCCAGAGAAAGGTGGGAGGCTGGGCCCAGGGAGAGCAGCCAGGGCAGTGGAGGCAGGAGCCCCTCTGCGGGCCTGGATGCTCAGTCTGGGTGAGAGGTTCTCTTTGGAATTTGGAGGTGCGGGGGGCTCCCCCTTAGTGTGAGGACCCTGATTTTTGGTAGCTTGGAGGCAGCCGGAGGGGGAGGCACATGCAGACGGCACCTTCCCCGCGGCGGGACACGAATGCTGATTTCCCGAGAGGACGACGCCGTTTCCTTCCTGGCTCCTCCTCCTAGCCCCAGGATGGATTTGTTCCATGGAGAAGGCGCTGGCCCATGGCCCCCAAGGCTGGGCGGCCCGTGGCACGCTGTGTTTGTCGTGCCCCAGTGTTTTCCTCCCGTTCTCAGTGTGGCCACAGACTCAGGATTTCTCCCATTTTTGAGGAGCTGACGGGTCTCAAAGGGGGCGTCCTGTCCTTCCTTCTTTGGGGGGTTGCCAGTGTCTGAGCGGGCCAGCGGGCTGCAAGACGCTGCCCATGCACGGTGGGATGTGGTCACTTATGGCCGTTGCTCGGCCCCCCTGCTCGTTTCTGCGGCCACCAGCACGAGAGCTGCCACTCACCCTCGTCGCCCCTCCTGTCGCCCAGGTCCAGCAGTACCGAGTGGCCATGACTGCCAAGGACTGCTCCATCATGATCGCGCTGTCACCCTGTCTGCAGGATGAATGGTGAGGGTCTCAGGGCTCCCTGGGGCGGGGGGGACCCTTTGAGCCGGGGGAGGGAAGAGAGGATCCATGCTCGCCGTTCCCCGCCCAGGACAGCCTGCTGCCGGGCTCGCTGCCTGTCTGGCCAGGGCACAAACAAGGCAGGGTCCCCCAGGTACCGGCAGCCCTCGAATGGAGAGGAGGGGACACGGGCACATGGCCTGGGATTCAGTCTGCTGTTTCTGAGATCAGACCAGGGCCCTGAGTAAAGCGGTGAGGGCCTGTCCACGGGACGGAGCCCGGCCGCCTGAGGGCCACCGCGGCTGAGGCCTCTCACTGGCCGCGTGGTCCCCTTAGGTCCGGGGCCAGCAGACAGCGGACCCCCGAGGCGGTTCCATGGGGGAAGCATGCCTGCCTCCCAGGTCAGCGGCACCAGAAAGGGGAGACTGTTGGGGTCACTCCCAAGTTCTAGCTTCCCTTCTCTTTCTCTCATTCTGAGGTCTTCAAGAGGTGATGGGGGAGGGGAGGTAGGGGGTGGTCTTGGGCAGAGCCTCGGTTCTGAGGTCTTGAATGGAGCCACTGAGGAGCGTTTTTTAAGCACCTGCTGTGTGCTGACAACGCCATCCCCGGGGGTGACGACATGTGCAGAGAGGTCTCTCGGCCGTGGGCGGTGGCGGGCTTCTGAGCGCTCTGAAACCCGCCTTCTGCGTCTGCAGCTCCGACCGGCGCCCCGTCATCCCCGCGTCGAGGGCCCGATTCGCCTTCTCTGTCTCCGTCCTGGATCTGGACCTCAAGCCCTACGAAAGCATCCCCCATCAGCACAAGCTGGACGGCAAGATTGTCAGTTACTACCTGAAGAACGTGCCCCCCAAGAAGGAGCCCGGCAAGGCGGGCCTGCTCGCGGAACCCGACGACTGCACCCTGGTGCTACACAAGGTGTAGCGGCCGGCCCGGCGGGGGACAGCAGGCCGGGCGCCCCTCTGCTGCGTGGCCGGGGAGTTTTGGGCTGTGGACATTTTTGCTCTGACCATATTGGAAGTGGGGTTGCCTTTCAGAGAGGAAGAATGGGAGCACTTGAAGGAATGAGTGGCCTGTAGGCGCCAGGGGAGGGTGAGGCTGCCTGGCTCCCCCCGGTCACCTGTGGGGCTGTGGTGGGGAATCCGGCTGGGCCTTGTCCCTGATAAAAGAGGGCACGGACTTCCCACAGAGCCTGCTCCCCGAGAAGCGCCCTCATCTCCACCCCCGTCCCCAAGACCCCTGGAGCAGCCTGGGCCTGGCCGCTGCCGGGGGCCTCGCATTTCCTGTTGGTCATTGGGCTGGGGCAGGGGAGGTGGTGGGTGATTCCCCATGTGCTGCTATTAAAGATGACGGCCAAGAGAGTGAGGCCAGGATGAGTGGAAGCCCAAGAATGTGCTGATTTTCTCGAGGGTTTTGTTTTCAGACTGAGCTCCTTTTGTCGTTAGACCCTGTGTTGAGGCGCCGGCGCCGGCACGAGGAGGTGGCCAGCGGGCGTGCTAGGTGACAGGCAGTCGGCTGCTCCCTATCGCGAGCCCCTGGCCTCTCGGGCCCTGACACTGCCCCCCTCGTGCCTGGGGTCCCTCCTCCGTGCCCGCCCCGCCTTGGGCTCCATCCCCCGCACACCACTTGGGATCTCTTGAACCTGTGTGTGCTGAGCTCGGGCAGACGGGGGTCTGGTCCGTCTGCCAGTTGTGTATTGAGGTCCCTATTGGGGATGGCAGGAGCCGGCCCCTCCTCCTCCCTGATGGGGGTCTGCCCGCAGCCCTGAACCCTCTTCAGGGAAGATGTGTTCATGGAGCCTAGAGCATCCAGTGTGGATACCGTGCCCTGAGTAATGTGAATCTGGATCAATCCCTGTGCTCCCTCGTGCTTCTGCCTGTGGCCCAGATACTCCCAGGTGGGAGACCCCTCCCCTTGGGCTGGCAGCCATCCCCTGGTTGGCCTCAGCAAGTTCCCTTGGCCTTCGCGAGGGAGACTCCGTGATGCTCCTTCCTGGGGAAAGATTGAGGCAATGTTGTTGATCTTACGGGCGGCGGCCCTTCTCCAGCTTCGGCCCTCTCTGGGCTGGCCCCTCACTCCCTCCTTCCCCATTTCAGCTGGGTGACCAGGGCAGCATCTGAGAGAAGTGATGAAGCCGTGAACAGGGGCTCCTACGGTCAGGCCAAGCCCCTGCCCCATGCTTACGGGGCGCGGGCACAGAACAGCTGATGTATTTTCTGAGAGCTGCTCTCTCCGGGGGGGGGGGGACAGTCAGAATTGACATCAGCACCAGAGGGTGGCCTTCCCTCAGACCAGGTGGTCCCTCCTGTAGCTCCTCCACACACTGACCAGTCCTCATACTCTGGTTCCCCTTGGCGGCTGGGTTTTCCTTGGGCCCACAGTCATCACAGCACCTTGAGACATTGGTGATGACAGCGTGAGGGCCCACATGTCCGTGGAGGGGCAGGAGACTGTCTTAAGGCCAACACCCAGCCCTGCTGTGCACATCCGCCCTCCTACTGGGCTGCGGCCTGTGGGCACTGCTACCTCTGGGCGAGGAGGAGGGAGTGGGCAAAGCGTGGGCTCTGCACCGTGGCAGCCCAGCCCTCACCGGCCTTTTCTGTGGCGAGAAGGGAGGGTCGAAGGGGAAATCCTGCCCGCAGGGACTGGTTTGTGGTTGTGAGAGGCCCCAGTGAGCAAACCATAGCCAAAAGAGGGAGCCCCGGAGAGGACTGGGCACCCGCTGGGCCCGGGGCGCTTTGGAAGAGGCAGCTGGAGCCTGGAAGGGAAGGCGCCCCCGCATCCCCCACTTTGAAGGGCCCTGATCAGTCCTGTCAGATCCCAGGGTTTAGAAAACATTAGGGACACACAACCACTCTGGCCGCTGCTGCCGTTCAGCTTTTTAAAGTACACTAGCGGGCCTGTCACTTTTTATTTAAATGGCTCTATTTATTTTTCCCGTCATGACGATTTCTATCTCACGTGCCATACTTGTACAGAGCATGGAGGAAGGTTTGGTTTATAAATGGAAAATTGCAGATGTTTATATTCAATGTAACTGTCAGCTGCAAAAGAGCAGGTTCCTAATTAAAGACTCTTTGGACACAGCCAGTCTCGCCACGAGAGGTGGTCTTCATTCTTCCGTGCGCAGCAGTTGAATCAGGCTGTCGATGGCAGCCTCGATGCCCAGCAGCAGCAGCAGGGTCCGGAAGCAGTGGGGGGCGCGCGCCACCACCTCCCTCTGGTCCAGGGTCAGGGCTTTAGGGGGAGAGCAGAACACCACCAAGACACACCTTTAACAAGGGGCCTTTCAGCCTGTGCCAGCTCCGCTCAGGGACCGTGGGACGGGGGCGGCTCCAGGAGCCTGCTCATGGTGGGTGACTGGGAACAGGGCTGTACGTGCTGGGCAAATGAGCTTGTTATTCTGAGGACTGCGGGGCGGGGCTGGGCCGGGCCGGGCTGGGTGTCCCCACCCCGTGATGCAGAAGCCCCTCTCTGGTATCACCCTGGAGCCAGAGGAAAGTGGGCCCACACCTGAGGGGCACGCTCATAAAATGAAGCCTCGGAGTGTTTCAGGAACACAGACCACGAATGCATTGGCCACATTCAAGGGCCTTTCCTGTCTGCAGTAGGGCTCACAGTGAAGGGAGAGTCACCACCCCTCCTAGGACGTTGAGCGTGTGCAGCTCTGAGCAGAAGAGGGACTGAGCTAGAGGGAGGCCCCGGGGCCCTACCTTGCTCTGGGATTTTTGTCAGAAGGTCCAGCTCGGGCACAACCTTCCCTCCTTCATCTATGTGCACCGTCCACACGACCACAAGCTCAAATCTGCAAGGGGCAGAGTTTGTACACCGTGATGAACGGCCTCTCCCAGCCCCCAAACACGAGCCTGCCTTTTGTCCCTGCCCGCCTTTATTCACTCTCAGCTGCCCGGGATGGGGGGGGGGGGGCTGTCATCCGTGCTGTGCAGATTGCCACCCCTGGACAGGCCCTCGGTGGATGGACGATGGCGGGCCAGCCCAAAGACTTCTGAGCTTAGCCGGGTTGGTCTTCAGTCAGACAACGAGGGTTTATTAGGGCTGGCTGTGGCCCAGGCCCCACCCTAATGGCTTGGCACGTGGTCCCTGTCTTTCAGGAGATGACCACGCCGCACCCACAGGTCAACCCAAGAGACAAACAGGAGACCAAGGCCAGGGTTAGAGGCTGGGTCGCAGGGCGCCCACTGAGGCCGACTCCAAGATTTCCTGGGTGAGTTTCCCGGGGCGCGAGGACGTGGTGGAGGCATCCGACTAGCCAAGTCTCAAAGCGGTGCAGACGGAGGGAATGGGGTGTCGTGGAAGGCAGGGAGGTGTAAACAGACTGGAAAGGGGGGAAAAACCAGCCAGAAAAATGTTTGGTCCTGGAGGAAACGGAGCCCAAACGGCCAGACCTGCTCTTGAGGGAAATCCCTTTGGCAGGCGAGAAGAGGATGGCCCAAGTAGGGAGAGAGGGGAGGCCGGCACCCCTCGAGGGGGCTCCCGTGGGGGCTGGGTGTGAGGGGATGAGGGCCCGGGAGGAACAGCCGCGCGGGGCAGGAGGGACCCAGATGAGGCCGACTTGGGGCTTAGGGGCCTCGCTGTGTGTGGGCGCTGAGATCTGGACTCACCCGGGCACGCAGGGGCTCTGAAGCCCCATGGAGTCTGCAGCGGGGCCTCCTGGGAGCTGCACCATGGCAGGGTGTTTCTCCTGTACAGGAAAAGAAAAGAAATTGGTTCCCAGATGGCGCCGTGCTTCTTCCCGAGACCCCCCACTGTGGCCCCCAAAGTCCCTTGGCTGGTGCCCTCTGGAGGAGCAGCGCTCTTGCCCAGCTGGACCTGGGCTCCCAGGTGGGCTCCCAAGTTCTAAGCCATAAGGGGCCCAGTCTTGGCCACTGACTGCTGCGTGACTGGGGCCCTGAGGCTGTGGCTCTTCGTAATCTGGGCCAGTCACAGCCTGTAGACCTGGGAGGCTAGGGATCAGTCAGTCTGTCAGCAAGCACCGAGAAGGGCCTGCCATGGGCTGGAGCAGGCTCACCTTGGCTGCTTCTGGACTGTGATGGCATGAGGAGCGTGCCAAGTGCCACGTCCATTTTACAGCTGAGGCAGGGCGTGGCGAGAGGGCAGGTCCACGGTGCCCCTCCAGAATTCAAGCCATCGCTGCCGATGGCGCTTGTCTAGGGGCTTTAGTGAGGAGTGAGCCTTGTGGCTCTTGTGAGATGGGTCGTGAGGTCTTGGACAAGTCCCCTCACCCAAGTAGTTTCCCCCCTGGTGGGACGAGCACATTTACGTCCGGGACCTGGAGATCCCCTATGGGGCAGAGCCCCTCGACCCTGCCATGGCAGGTGACCTGAATCACGTTGTTGTGCTTCCCCCTCTGCCCTGGCAGGGTAAAGCACTCAGTAGGGTCTGGCACACCGCAGGCGCTCTCCAAGTGCTGTCTGTTATTATTTCATTATTACGAAGGGCGACATGAGGGAGGGTGGGCTCATCTGGAGGAGAGCCGAGAAACGGCCTAGTGCTGGGGGCCTGAGGGAAGGCGGGGCAGCCCTCACAGAGCCTGAAATGGCGCACGGTGACAAAGGGCCAAGGAGCAAGCAGCATTTATGAAGCGCCCACTGTACGGCTCTGGGGACACCAGTGCAGCGTGCCCACAGACGGCGCGGGGGGCAGAAGTGACCCAAGCCGAGCCTTGTCAGGCAGACCAGAGAGTCTTTTGGGCCTGGGGGACGGGCCAGGCAGAGGTTCCAGATGAAAGGGCCTGTGGGGGGAACAGCAGATGGGTCAGTTTGCCTAAAATGGCATCAGCCTGAAAAGACTGGGGAGGGCTTTACGTGTCAAACTGAGGAATTTGTATTTTAAGGAAAGGGGATGGGTTAGGCAGCAGGAGGAGGGAAGGGGCATGGGAGCCTGCCTCGCCCGGCAGCTGATTATACCTGTGGGGTGAGGCAGGAGGAGGGGTGGGCAGAGACGTCACTGGCTTGTGGACTCTGGGTTCTAAGGCTGAGCCGTTTCTAGCCCAACAGAGGAGGGAAGTGGGGCAGAGGGGTGGGATTAGGGGTGACCCCTCCCCTACATGCCGCAGTAGTGCCCCTGGGGAAGGACTCTCGTTGGATTCCGAGGAGGTCCCGCAGGCGAGCCAGGCAGCCCGGGCAGAGGGGGGCAGGGAGCTCCCCTCCTTCCCTGCCCCAGGATGCAGGCGCTCCTCAGAGGCTGGGGCCTGTCAGGGTTTCCATTCCCACTGGACGTGCCAAACCAGATGCCTCGTGGCCAGGCTGAGCAGGCCTTCAGCTTCCCCCAAAGTCAGCAAAGCCAAATGAAGGGGAAGCTGCCGGCTGGTCTGTAAAATGGAAAGTCTCAGTTGACTTCTCAACCTCAAGACTTTCCCCACAAACGGATCGGCTGGAGAAGCGCCAGGGAAGCCCGGCGCCTCTCGTGGTGTCCGCGCCACAGCCACTGCCAACCTCAGCACTTTCCAAGCTTTGCTTCCTATGTGCCATATGGAACGCATTAAGGATGGTCTCGAGGTCTGCATGGAGGGAGGAGTGGGGGGCTCCCTGGCCTGCAGACCAGGAGGCCGGGGTCGCGGCCTGGCGTGGCCTGCAGAGACGGGAGGCAGAGGGTGGCCCGAGGAGGGCCATCGACGAGGGAGTAGGCGAGGCCAGAGAAGGAAGCTTCGGGAGAGTGGGCAGAGCCGGGGACAGGCTTTGGTGAACCAGATGTTCCTGAACTGGGCAGCTCGGGTCAAGAAGCTCTGCGGACAACAGCCGTGGCCCTTCCCCACAAGGTGGGCCTGCTGGGGCCCCAGCTTCCATACCTGTAAAATCAGGGGTGGGATCCTGGCTGAGGCTCCTCGCACCAGAGCTGACACTGTCTGGTTCAGTCCCGGGACCTGGGGAACTCTGCTGGAGCAGGGGGCCATTCTCAGTCCAGCCCTGCCCACCCCCAGCTGCTGGGGCCTCACCTCTGCCTTGACCTTCCATCCACTCTGTCCATATCTCCATGTACGAGGATGTCGACGTGTCTCCCCCATTAGTTGTGAGGCCCCTGAGGTCAGGGACTGTCTTGCCTGGCACACAACGGGCATGACCGGCTGGGCCAGAAGGATTTCCTGCAGGCTGATGGCCCTTCACCTTTTCTGTGCCTGGCCCCCTTGGGGATTCCAGCGGACCAAGCCTAGGGTCCTCTTCCTTCTCAGTATCAGATTTTAATGCAGAAAATAAAATATGTGGGATTGCCAGGGAAACCGATTATCCTGAAATCCCATGAGCAGAATATCAGAAGACATTGTCAGAGGCCTGGTAAAGGCCCCCTGCTGGGGACACCCCGGCCCAGGGCACTCACTCATCAAAAGACTGTTCTCAGGCCGGTCCCAGGTTCTCTGTCCACCCAAGTGCTCCTCAGGAGCCCAGGGCAGGATCAGGGAGAAGCCTTTTGGGAGGGGGCCCGCATCATCCCAACTGTAGATGTGGCTTCTTTCTCCGGGCAGAGAAGCAGGAAGTCAGCAATGAGTGTAGGTGGGGGTGGGGGACAGAGGAGTTTGCTAATGAAGGGGACTAGGGCTCCCCAAGCCGGACAGTCTGGGGGCCTTCTGCTTAAGGACAAATAGCCGGGGCAGGCCCCAAGTGCATCATTGGCCGTACAATAATGAATGAATGTTTGTATGGTCACTAGGATGACTAAACCGAGCCTCAGAGAAGAGCCATCCATGGGATGCTGCTGGATCTCTGGTTCCAGGGAAAGCTTATTGGGCAGGGCAGTGGGAGGGACGGCAAGAGGTGCCTGGGAGCTAGGGGCAGAAAGGATACGTCTGAGAGAAACAAGACCAATGAAGTCGGGAGGTCAGGGGCTGGACGTACACAGAGAGGGAGGCACGAACCCTACATGGATGTATCAGGAGAGCCGGAGGGAGGCTGGGCAGATGCCCGGCTGTGTACAAGGGCCCAGGACCAGGTTGGACCCTTACTGTGCTTCACGTGAGAACGCTGGTGGCAGACAGTGGCCCTCAGCTGTCCAGAAAACCAGGTGGGAGAGGAGAAGGCCGGCACTTGAGGGCCCTGGAGGGGGGCCACACTTGGGATTGCTTCACGGGGGCGCGTCTCGTGTTCATTGGGTTCCACTTCCAAGCTGATGGGCCAAGCCAGAGACTGAGGGCCATTCCTGCATCTTCAGCTGCCCGCCACATGTACAATGTTTGCACAGAATCAACAACTGGAACCCCTCCTGACTCAGCCTTTGAGAGCCGTGTTCCCTGTACTTAGAGATGGGTCCCAGCGGGGTTGGCTCGGTCCACGACCTTGGACAAGGGGTCAGCAAGATAGGACAGAAGCCCCCGGAGACTTTGTGTGCCTGGTGCCTGGCATAGCACCCAGCATACAGCAGGTGTTTGATACATGTTGGCAGGCGACCCTGGCTTCCTTGCTGCTCCTCCAACCTCCGAGGTTTCTCCTGCCCTTCCTCTGCCTGGCACCTTGTCCCTCCAGCTTCCTTCGGGCCCCAGCGAGAAGCCGACCTCCTCAGGAAGCCTTTCACGGCCGCCTCCCGGGCTGTCAGGCCTCTTGTGCCTCTCCCCCAGGAGGGAGCCGTGTGCTCTTCCAGGTTGTGGAGGTCTCCAGGCAGTGGCTGGTCCCCACTTGGGGGCTGAGACCCCTTTAGCTGCCTAAGAAAACCTCCGTGGATGAGATTCTAGTCTCACTGGACAGAGAAGGGGACTGAAGCTCAGAAGTGACTGGCCCAGGGCCACGAAGCTGATCAACAAGTGTTGATTCGAAGGGAGGATTCAAACCCAGGCCATCCCTCTGAGCTCATAGGAGCCTCTTTTCACATCATGCTTGCTGCAGGCATGGTATTTTGACATAAGCCATTTCAAGATTCCCTGGTGAACAACCAGAATGGAGAACAATTTGTCCGCTAACGACTGTACAAATGGAGAACTTCCAAGCCTTCAGATTGCCTGACCCAACGCCCGGCCACGTACCCAGGGCCCGAGGATGAAGCTGGCTGTGTCCCCTGATGGCGGGGCTGGGGGACTCCAGAGGCAGAAGGGGTCACACGTTCTCAGACCCAGCCACGGGGAGGGCTTCCCAGGCTTCTCTGAGACAGTCGCTCATGGCCAGCAGCAGCGGTCCGTCCTGTCCATGCACCATCATCCGTCAGCCATTTCCCTGCTTGCAGGCATCCCCTTGGCCACCCCCCCGACAGTCATCATAGATCTTTTCCTCCTTTGACCTCTGTCTGGATAGAGGCCTCCTCATAGCATCAGGGGTCCAAGTAGCTCTGACCCTCCCCTCTCTCTGAGGGACACAAGCATTCCTTCACGTGGCAAAGACAAGGAGGGAGGGGGGAGAGCCAGAGATGGAGTTCGGGGTGGGAAGGACTTTAAAAGCCGGGCAGGCAGAGGATGATTTTATCTGGGATCCTACATGGGAGAGGAAGCAAGAGGAGTTTCTGGTCTCTGTCCTCATATTTGTCATTGAAGACAGAAATGGAAGAAAAACAGTATAGTGGAAATGTATTTGCAACATCACCAATAAGCATCTGACATCCACTGTCTAAAATGGCACCAAGAACCATTTCCCAATTGATAAACAGTCAAAAGATATGAGTTCAGTGGTTTTCAAAAGAAGAAATGCAAACTGTGGATGTGGGGCTTGCTCCCACCCCCTACCTCTGCAGCCCCCTGTGTTTCTGTGGCAGATCCGTGGCTGACCC